AATGGAATATCAGGGTGATAACAAAGGAGAAGAAAACACTTTTCACCAGTCTGCCGACGCAACACGAGAATACGGACAAATTTGATTGCTCAGGAGTTTATCGCATCAAATGCGGCAACTGTGAGCAGAAGTATATTGGTGAAAAAGGAAGAAAAATCGGCCTACGAATCATGGATCATCAAAGATTCTGCAGGGACATGGATATGAACAGATTCGAAATAGCGGAACACATTGCACGAACGGGGCACAAAATCGACTGGAAATCGACTGGAAATCTACCAAAAGGTTGGCCTCATGTGATGAAGATACAAGAAAACGCAAGATCCGAGAGGTCATCGATATACTGACCGAGAGAGATCTAATGGACAGAAGACTTGAAGAAGGCAGGATTAGCGAAATCTTTGCATATTGCCTAAACAAACTCGGAAAAGACCATTTAACAGCAAGATCAGGCAAAAGAAAACGACTGTATCAAGGTAATATCCTTAATTTTAGGAAAAGAGATCGCAGGGTGCTGAGAAAGTAACAATCAGAAACTGAGGAGACGTCTTCAGTGAGCCTAACCAAAACAAGTAGAACTAAGACAAGTATTACCGATAGAAACAGGAAAGACGCGGTGGAGACTAGAGCTATTTGGCTAACAATAGACGTGTTTGATTATAGGCATGATCCTGGAATCACGACTATTGTTAGCCAACTAGCTCTAGCTTTCCTGTTTCTATCCTCTTTCTATCTATAATACCTTTGCTATGAATTCCTATTCCCTAGTCTCTTGTGTGCCAACCCACAAATATTGTGGTACTGCTTGCTTTGACTCGGTTCAATGCTGAACCACAACGTTTGTGGGTTGGCACACGAGAGACTAGGGCATGGGAAATCATAGACTTGTTATTCGAGATAGAAACAGGACGGCGTAACAATATGGGATACTTTGATCACAAAGATGAAGGGGAGTGAGAAGGCCAGCGTGGAGTGCGGAGGGTTCTCATGACAGCCGCTCAAAATGGCACACTGTACCACATTTAATTTAGCAACTAAAAAATTGTAACAGTGAAGGTGTGATTGGAGGATATATGAAATGTGATTAGCCCAGGGCAGAAGGGGAGATGCCATAACTGTTTAGCACACGTTTGTTCAAAGGATGGGCTTCACTTGTCACTTTGACGATTAGTAATATGGTTCTACGAATGGTAAAACTCACTAACGATGCCGACTACGATGCCGGCGAAACGTCTGGAAATGTACTACGTCCACGGTCCGACTTTGGAAATGATCATGCAGACATGGGACCCCGGACTAGGTGCGTTCCTCTAAGCCTTCCTACCAATATGACCAAGTTGCGAAAACAAGGTCAAACAACATCTAGGCAACGAAAGGAAACTGCGACCACAAAAGGCCACATCACCTTGGTCTTCATACCTACTTCCTTATATTTCGAATTTTGTCCACTTATGCATCTCATGCTTTGGTTGGATGTTCTGTGCATTGTCTCTAAATTTGCCCATAAGTTTAGTTAAGTGGCTGCGGATGACATGTGAAGTGGCTACAGATGAAGCGCGAAATGGATGCAGTTGAAACCGAACAGCTGAATCTTCGCCTAAAACACACATGCATTTGATTATGCAATGTTATTGCATGTGGTTACGTCCCATTACACGAGTGTTTTGTGAATGCATTACTCCTGAGATGAGTGGGATGTGAGAGTCGAAACCAAATTTCAGACTAATCAGCCTCCTCCACTTGCTCGGTCGTACCTCTCGTTCCCCATCTCTCTCTCTCCCTGTCTCTCACTAGACCTGCCCAACAGCCAAAGTAGTTTCCGCTTAACTTCCTACATACAAAGAAAAGTTGGGTTTCGAGGAATCTCTTGTTTCATAATTGTTGAGTTTACTTCCCTTTCGAGTAGAAGTGTTGTGTGAATAGATTCGAAGGTCTGTTTTACCAGAAGACGTCGACGGATTCCTCTTGACCAGCTGTCGATTGGCTTTACTAGAATATTCATGCTGATACTGTTTTCGAGGTAATCTCATTCGATTCCGATGAAAAGGTGCTAAGCTTTCGTCCGTC